AATTGTTATTTTGTTTTTTAGACTTGCATTTGCGTTTGTAATTTGTTATTTTGTTTTCAGAATTGTGATTTGTTTAGCGCTTCTCGGCCACTGTAAAAATTTCCCCCATAAAAGTATGAAAATGATAAAAAAAAATTTTAGAAGTAGTTATACCCTTTGTGAACAAAGTCACAAAATTTCAGTCCAATGCGATAACATTAACTAGTATTTTTGGGAAAAATAAAATTTTCTCAGAGCAAAAAGGACCCGAACGCCACATGAAGGCTAATTATAATGTTACTTGTTAATTAAATACATTGTCATACACAAATAGTATTCATTTTTATTCGAAATTTTTTAAAACAATCGTATACATTTTTGGTAGAGGTATTGAATAAATCATCAATATCTCTCCCTCTGGAATAAATCAAGGCAGTGGCAGCCCAAAGGGTCTACCTGTACAATTACAACATTTCCCACTTCTTCACTACTGTCCAGCTCCATATCTTAAACATTTGAATTGTGAAAAGCCCCTTCAATTATTAAAATAATTTTGCTTGTGGGGAGGTGGGATGAGGGATGGAAGTGTTACATGTTATACAATTTATTGACACTGCCAGCTGTGGAGACGTTTTAAGTTCATGTTTCCATAAGTCACAGCACCTTTGCTCAGCACCCATTTCATCATGTCCCCAGCCCCACAGGGAATGACACAAATCCCTAGAGTCAGCATGGGGAGCTGTGCCTCAGCTGTTCAGTGTCTTCAGTCAATGAAGACTGGGCACCAAACACTTAACAGATTATTTAAAGACCTCTATGTCCTCAGTGGATTTCTGTAACCACATATGTTACTGTATATAAAGATACAGACGCTCCTCTGACCTCCTATGGGAACTGCAGGGGTGTGTCTGAGGAATCCCTTAGTCATGTGAAAACTAGTCACCAGGCTGAAAGTCCATCCCTGAGTTCCTCAGCAGGTGATTACTCCTCAATTAAGAACCTTAATTAGGGACCCTATGAACAAAACAATAAGCCTGAATATGTGCACGACAGCTATGATAGATATGCAATTACCAGGATTTCTACCTGTGACATGGACCCTTGATTCTGACTCATTGTCCCAGACAATTTTTGTCCTGTAACACAGAATATCATGATCATATTAGACTTCTTAAAAAAACAATTGTTCGAACTTTCGAAATATTTAATTTGTGCAAAAATACGGGCCATATATGGATCTCAAACATAAATATTGCATATTTATTCCAGATAAAAGCACCTTTTGACCAACAAATTTCAACTTTCTTAGCTTTTTAAGATCTTATTAGAACCCTGAGAACAATTGATGAACATTATTGACTACTTTATGTATTAAGTGAATAAAGTGGAAAAAATGCTTTAATATTTTAAATAAATTAAAAAATTGCATTTTTAGTAATCCCCCGACTAAGCTATTTCACATAACAGAACTTTACATACAGTCCACAAGACAAAATAACTACATTTTGAACCCGTTCAAAAGTTTATATATTTTGTATATTTATCCTACTAAATAAAAAATAAACTGCATTTTATTATCCCTCTTTACTAATTCTGCAAGGGATTTGTGACCACAACTGTCTGCATCAGGGTTGAATGTTAAATTGACAGCTGTCAAACAGGACAACAAGCACAGTGATTCAGCAAAGGTCTGTCAGCTCATTAAGTGTAACAGTCTCAGAGCTCCAAGTTAGTGATGAGGCAAGGCAAGGCAAGGCAAGGCAAGGCAAGTTTATTTATATAGCACATTTCATACACAATGGTAATTCAAAGTGCTTTACATAAAGGAAGTAAAATAATCATTAAAAAAATAATCACAACAATAAAACAAGGAATTTAAAAACTTTTAAAATAATTAAAAAATTGATTTAAAATGAATTTAAAACAGTTAAAAATGATTATACCACGGAAAGAAAATGATTATATATAAAATACAGTGCAATCAGTTTGGACGTAGCACAGTGGTCATTCAATTAATGCACAGCTAAACAGATGAGTTTTGAGTCTGGATTTAAATGTGGCTAATGTTTGAGCACATCTGATCTCTTCTGGAAGCTGGTTCCAGCTGCGGGCGGCATAATAGCTAAAAGCGGACTCCCCTTGTTTTGTGTGAACCCAGGGCTGGATTGGTAATCGGGAATACCGGGCATTTTCCCGCATTTTCACAGCAGATTTATCAAGAACAAGCTTAGGGACTCGCAACGGAGGCAGACATCTAAACTATCCTAATGTGTGCACGTGCCATGAGTGTAGAATACGTAAACACTTTTTAATAAAATGTAAATTTGCTCCGCCTATATAAAGATCACATCACTCGAAATTCTTCCTCGTCGACTTTTCCCACGTTTTCACAGCAGATTTATCAAGAACAGGCTTGCTCTGCGGTGAGTGATGCTGGCTCCCAGGCAGGAGGAGGACAGGAGAGTAGTTGAATCGGTAAAGTGCTTGATAGGGACTCGCAATGGAGGCAGACATCTAACCTATCCTAATGTGTGTGTGCGCCATGAGTGTAGTAGAATATGTAAAGACTTTTTAATAAAATGTAAATTCGTCCCCCGCGCTTTTTTTAGTCAAGTCAAGTGTGTTCATAGAGGTTTCCATGGGCCAATGCGAATAAATCTAGATTTAAATTCAAAAAGACACGATATTGTCGGACCTGACGTTTTATTCTTATCCAAAACAACTAGAAGTGATATGAGTGTGATACATACATACATACATACCAGTCAAAAGTTTTTGAACAGTAACATTGATCGACAGTGTCAAACACAGCACTAAGATCTAGTAGTACCAGCACTGATATTTTGCCAGAATCAGAATTAAAGTGAATATCATTTATTATCTTTTTACTACATTTTTTATCTTTTTACTGCATTTTTGATCAAATTTGAGGCAGACGTACAGATGATATTTACTAACTAGCACTCATAGAAAAGGGATTTATCCCACTGAATTGGGGCTGTGATGCCTTTGGGATGGGTGGGGGCGAAGAAGGGAAAGGAAAGTTTGCTGTTGATTCCTAACAGGAAACAGACCAAAATGTTTTTACTTGACCGCAAACAAGGCTCAGTTTAAAAAAAAAAGAAAAAAAGGTGCATCATTAATACTGTCAGTATACAGTGCTCCCAAAAAGTATTTGAATACTTCTGCCCTTCTTAAATGTCTGTAAAAACATTGTGCTTTTATTGTTTTGTTTGAAAAGAAGAAATACATTTACAACTTGGAAAGGAGATTTATCAGCTTTAAGTAACTGTGATGAATGTAATGAGTGTAACAAAGGATACTTATTTCATGCAAGACAAAATTAACTTAAATAGTTAAATTCTCCAGATCATTTTAATTATTGAAATATTGACTACAGAATATGGCAGTTCAAAGGTGCCATGGTACAAATTGATAGTTTTTATAAATAATTGACTAGGATTTCAGTTTTTCCTCTTTTCCAAAACATGATCAGTGAATACAGTTATTTTATACAACATGGAAGAACAACAGTTTATGATATGTTCTGATTTAGATTTGTTTAGATCTAAAGCAGAACTTAGATCTACCACAAACTTCATATTATTTTATGATCACTTTATAGGAAATGTAAGAGTGTATACGCTAATGGTGGGTTTGGGTTCTGGGATTTGTTCCTTTGGGTCTTCTTTAGGCTTAGACTTGAACCAGCCACTGAACCATCCAGACTTAAGAGGTCTGTTCAGAGATGAAACAATACAACAATTAAAAAAAAACATTTTTAAATAAAAATAAAAGTATAGAGGGAATCATGTAAATATTTGATGTAATATACTGTTTACCTTTGCTGATTGTATGTTGGACTCTCTCTTGTTGTCCTCACTTGGAATTGTCCTGGAATGATTAACCCTCCCAACTATAGCATAGTTTTCAGCAGCACCCTGTGTGAATTGTACATAGAGGTGATGTGTGTCATTTTTTTGTGTTAAAATACTTTCTCCAATCTCTATTGAACATGCAAAGACAACTTCACTAAGGTTTTTCTCAAGTCACCACCTTAAGTCACCACCTATTAAATATTATTATTAATTAGTGGTGCAAATATGTACACTACTGTTTAAAAGTTTGGGGTGGGTAAGATTTAATCATGTTTTTGAAATAAGTCTTTTATGATCACCAAGGCTGAATTAATTTGATCAAAAATGCAGTAAAAACAGTAATATTGTAAAATATTATTACAATTTAAAGTAAATGTTTTCTATTTTAATATATTTTATTTAAATTTTAAATTATTCATGTGATGGCAAAGCTGAATTTTCAGCAGCCATTACTCCAGTCTTCAGTTTCATTTGTTAACATTAGTTAAAGTATTAACTAACATGAACAAACAATGAACAATACATTTGTTACAGTATTTATTAATCTTTGTTAATGTTAGTTAATGAAAATACAGTTATTCATTGTTTGTTCATGTTAGTTCACAGTGCATTAACTAACGTTAACAAATAGAACTTCTGATTTTAATAATGTATTAGATGTTGAGATTAACATTAACTAAGATCAATAAATGCTGTAGAAGTATTGTTCATGCTTAGTTCATGTTAACTAATACAGTTAACTACTGTTAATTAATGAACCTTATTGTAAAGTGTTACCAACGTTCTATATTATAATCAGGTTTGAAAATGGTTGTGTTGATTAATATTTTTGTGGAAACAGTGATACGTTTTTTTGGGATACCTTGATAAATAGAAAGTCTTTACTGTCACTTTTGATCAGTTTAATGTCCTTGCTGAATTTGTTTGTCTCTTAAAAAAAAAAATCTTACTGTCCACAAACTTTGAATGGCAGTGTACAGTACATATACATTATTTTCAAGAAATCATTGAAGAACAATACATAAATTGTGTAAAACTGATTGTGTCATCCATAGTCATCTTAACCTGTATTATTGTAGTTTCTTGGAGGTGAAGTGCAAGCAGCATTGTGAAAGTTATAATTTTTACTGCTGCTATCAAGATTAGAGTGGCTTTGGTCCATTAAAACTTGTGGATGCCCAGACTTTTCCATCGGGAAGACTGGGGCCAGTGTCATTGGCTGCTGGGTCGGGTACAGTGGCACTGGAGCCATGGTCTTAGGAGCCTGTTCTTCAGAAGAGTAAGAGTGGCTCACTGTAGAGTAATGGCGCTTTTCCACTGTGTGGTACGACTCGGCTCGGTACGGCTCGGTACGGCTCAGTACGGCACGGCACGGTTCGGCTCGACACGGTTTGCGTTTCCACTGCAGTTAAGTATCGCTTTAGAGAAACCCCCCAAAAGTGAACCGTACCGAGCCGTACCGTGCCGTACGAACAACAAAAGCAGTCTATTCTGAAGATGTCCAGGGCCCCATTTGTACTGGTACTAAAACAAATTATATACAATATTCCAGAAATCAAGCAGACACCATGTTTCCAGAGCATTAAAATGCTTTTTTTTTGGTGATTCAATCACAAGTTGTCAGCCAAGATGCATTTACCATTTCCACCTGGTATACATGTGTTTTGAATGCATCTCAAGTGCCATGGGTTATGAAAAACAATAGTGATCTATACATTTGAGTACCATATGGATGGTATTTAGTCTTGCTATATACAGTCCTTTAATCTTAAAGTGGACTAATGACTGCCATATATACTGTACAAGCTTTGTGTTTACCAGCATGGTCTGGTGTCTGCAGCGAACCTGCACCAGCCAATTGGGGTCCAGTAAAGGCTGACCTGTGTCACTGAATTGTGCCTCGGAGAACTTCAATCTGCCCACCAACTGTGGTAGCAAACAAATGAGACAGATCACAAAACACTTTTCAACGCGTACACAAAAAGGACAAAGCTGCCTACAGCATCAGTGTTAGCACCATATGTAAAGATGTGTGTTACTTTAATAAGCTCTCCCAGCAGCACCAAATGGGGTTCCTCAATCTTGAGGAGAGCTTTTGCCACCACGTCACAGTAGTGGAAGGCCTGAGAAACCAGACCACAGTCCAGCAACCGGCATGCATATAGGAATTTATACACCTACAAAGAACACAACACAATAATAACTATGCAATAGATAAAATATAAAGTATGAACACATACTTAACCATAGAAAACACAACAACAAAAAAACAGTCATATAATCTGAACAATTTGAAAATTAAGGAGCACTTATGATCATATAAAAAAATGACCTATACAAATCTGACATAAACAGTCATAAATTAGGATACACAGTGGGGTCTAGAAGGCTGAGACAATTTAAAACAATGAAAGTTAGGAAATAAATAAAGAAGTAACATTTTAATAAAATAAAATGTAATTTTGATCAAATGTGTAATTATTTTTATTTATTATTAAATTAGAATATGCAGTGGGGTCTAGAAGGCTGAGACTTCACTGAACAATTTAAAACAATGAAAATTAGGAAATAAATAAAGAAGTACAATTTTAATAAAATAAATAAAATGTAATTTTGATCAAATGTGTAATGATTTTTATTTATTATTAAATTAGAATACAAGTATTTCAATAGTGGTCTCAGACCTTCAGATCCCCTGATTTGCTATCCCTGTAGTTAATGTATGAATGCTACCTGAAAAGCAGGAATGAAAATTTCAGCATTTCCAAGCCTCTGGCAGTACTCAAAGAGTTCAGTACAGCAAATAGCAGAGTTATGACATAACTTGATAAACAGAACACTGCAGTCAAATAATTAAATCTTTAAAAAAAATACAATTAATAATTATTAATAATGATTGAATCTATCGCATACCTTGTCAGTGTCGTGCGCTTGCTTAGACCTTTGTTGTGATAAACAGTAAAGTGTGTTCAAGCGCTAGCAAAAGACAGTGTAAAGAAATACTCTTTGAGAGAAGTTAAAAGTTAAAAGCGGAAGTTAAAAGCAGATCGTAAGCGTATTTATTTCTTGTCTCATTACTGTTTAGCGCAGTTGTCGTTGCTAGGAAACGCTTGTTTGTTTACTGTGTTGAGATGTGCTGAAGTTGCGTTTGGTGACCTACTCTATCGCATACCTTGTCAGTGTCGTGTGCTTGCTTAGACCTTTGTTGTGATAAACAGTAAAGTGTGTTCAGCTGAATTCAATTTCCGTTTTGTCCGACGGGTATAAAAAAGGTTAGTATACCATGGCAGCCCTCCTGTTAAGCCCTCCTCGTGTGAAGACCAAAGAGTGTAAAGACCATTGACTCTGTGCGACTACCGTGCGACTCCACCGGGCAGGGACACCGACAAGGGATATAAGCATCGCTTTTGATTCCTCCTTTTTCCTACTACTTGTTTAACTTCTGTTTCAGTTTTAGTGCTGCTCTCAACCTTTCCTGAGGATTTTACTCCCCTAGTTATGCTTGGAGACTTCAACATCCACCTAGATAAACCTCAGGCTGCAGACTTCCACAGACTTCTGCTTGCCTCTTTTGATCTCAACCGAGTGTCAACTACTGCTACTAACAAATCAGGCAACCAACTGGACCTTATTTACACACGACACTGCTCCACTGATCATGTACCGGTTACTCCACTGCACACCTCGAATCACTTCCTCCTCACTCTTAACCTCAACATGGTTCCTGACACAACACATACCCCTCCACATGTCATCTTTCGACGTAACCTACGCTCACTCACACCCTCCCGGCTATCTGCTATGGTTTAATCTTCGCTTCCTTCCCCTAAACTGTTAGCAACTTTTGATGCTAACAGTGCTACTGATACTTTCTGCTCCACTCTTACATCTTGTTTAGACACAGTCTGCCCCTTGTCTTCCAGACCAGCCTGTACCACCCCTTCTGCCCCTTGGTTATCTGATGTTCTCCGCGAACATCGTTCTAAGCTCAGGACTGCTGAAAGGGTGTGGCGTAAATCCAAAAATTCTACTGACCTTAATGTGTATCAGAATTCGTCTAACTCTTGCATGCTCTTTAAAACATTTTCCTCGCTACTTTGTCCTCCTCCTCCCCCTCTTGTATCAACTCTAATAGCTGATGACTTTGCCACGCTTTTCATTAATACAATTAAAAGCCTTCACACTGGTGTTTTTCCCTCAACATTTAGACAGGCTTGTATAACCCCACTACTTAAGAAAACCACCCTTAACCCAGCTCTTTTAGAGAAATACAGACCGGTTTCCCTTCTTCCTTTCATTGCAAAAACATTTGAACGAGCTGTGTTCAACCAAGTCTCTGCCTTTCTCACACAGAACAACCTCCTTGACAGCAATCAGTCTGGTTTCAGAAGTGGACATACAACCGAGACTGCCTTGCTATCAGCTGTTGAAGCCCTAAGAGATTCCAGTCTGCACCCCTTTACCTAAATTCATTACTTCAGATTTATGTGCCTTTTAGAAGCTTGCGTTCTGCAAATGAATGTCGCTTTATTGTGCCATCCCAAAGAAGCACAACATCACTTTTATGGACTTTTAAATTAAATGTTCCCTCCTGGTGG